GACGTCTGCGCGGGCCGCGCTCGGCGGCAGGCGCCGGTGGACGTCAAGGCGAGCCTGCAGACCCTCCAGGACCCTCCTCCTCCTCCTCCTCCTCCTCCTCCTCCTTGTCCTCCTCTTTCTCCTCCTCCTCCTCCTCCTCCTTTTCCTCCTCCTCCTTCTCTCCTTGTCCTCCTCTTCCTCCTCCTCCTCCTCCTCCTCCTCCTCCTCCTTGTCCTCCTCTTCCTCCTCCTCGTCCTTCTCCTCGGCGGCGAAATCTGGGCCCCAGCCTCGCCGATCAACAATTCAGGCAATTCGATGGGCGGCGGGGGTAGGGTTCGAACACGTGGCCAGATCCGAACCCGACCCCCGCCTCCAACCGATTCATGAGAATCGATGGTTGGTGGGGGGTCAGTGCACACGGGGTTCGCCAGAGCGCCGGATCATGCAGGATCCTGCAGAGCCAGGGGTGCATTGACCCAGGCTAGCGCGCAGGATCCTGCAATGAACCACAATCACAACCATATCCAAGTGGATTTTTCGGGAGGGCCCCTCGGGGGAGAACCTACCGACCTTGACACAAGCACTTTGGTTGTGGTTGTGGTCGATGTGGCCGCCTGGGACGACCACATCGACCACAGCCAGCACCACGCTGCTTTGGGTGTTCTGGCCAGTGTTGGCAGGCGCAAGACACACCCCCCCCAGGGTGCGTCCTCGATGTGGTGGTGGTCGCCTGCTGTCCCTGCGGTATCGTGCACGGGGGGACCTACTGGTCGGCGTGTCGCTCCGCTGGCTCCGGTCCTCCACGCTACGGCGCGACACGCTGCCCATGTCCCAGTCCCCAAGCCTCAACGTCCCGAGCCTCTCCCAGCCTCCCGCCCCGCGGAGCCGAGCGACGCGCGGTCCGCTCTCACGGCGTAGCGTGTCGCCGGGGCCGCCGCAGCGACACGCCAAGCAGCGGTGTCCGACCGTAACCAATCTCCATCCCCATTGGGCCACTCGAAGCGCAGAAAGCGGCACAAACATACTAGTAGTTTCTCGGAGCTCCGCCTAGAGTATGTGGATCGGCGCTGGGCCCCCCCGGGCGGCGCCTCTGGCGCCGTCCCTGGCGCGCTCCGCGCGCCAGGGAGAGGGTCCAGCGCCGATCCAAGAAATCCGTGCGGACCTCCAAGAAATCATGTCCATATAGTTTTTTAGTTCCTCTAGCCATGCTAGCTCAGCCCGACCATCCCCCCCCCCTCCAGTTGGGCACAGGCAGCGCGAAGCCCGCAGGGAACAGCATACGTACACGATCTCGGGTCGAGGGCTCACAGGGTCCCCCCCCAGATGGCATGGGTCCCAGGGTTCCACAGGCCCCCGCCCCCCCGGAAGAGGATCGGGGTGGGGGGGGACGCTGACGCCGATGCCGACGCCGCCAACGCCGACGCCGACGCCTACGCCGACGGACGACGAAGGAGGAGGAGGAGGAGGAAGAGGAGGAGGAGGAGGAGGAGGAGGAGGAGGAGGAGGAGGAGGACAGCGACGACGACGACGAGCCACTCCACACCCGCAGGGATGGGAGTGCCCTGGCACCCTCCACCACGCCACGCCCCCAGGGCCACGGCCACAGGGGGGGAGGTCGATCCCATCCGCGAGGCCTCCGCGAGGCTCACGGGCGTACCCATCATGCGGGGGGGGGCATGCCTCTAAGTCCGTCTTGGCCTCTTTGGATCGTGTTCAAAGCTCGTTTCTCCGCAGTGTGGGCATTTCTGATTTAGATGCTCTCCACACTTTAAGTTAGTTCCTTTGTGTTCTCGAAGAGACATAGCTAACCTGGGTCTCATTCACAGGACTCTTCTTGGGGCCGGCCCGGCATGTGGGGGGGCTCGAGTCCATATGCCTTGGGGGGGGGAAGGGGGGGGGGGCAACCCTGGGTCATGTGTCCCCGTCTAGGGGGGGGCGATCCGCCTTCCACGGGGACCCCTCGTCGCCACGGTTGCTGACGCGTCTGGATCCCAGGAGGGGTCCGGGTTCCAGGGTCCGATCCTGAGCTGCCCTTGCCTCCACTCGCCCTGCTCCGAGAGGAGGACGGGGAGGTGGATGGAGGATCGTTTTCGTTCCGCGATTTCGGATTTTCTGGACCTCCCGCAACGTCTGCGTCACCAGGGCTGGATCCGCCTCGACACTCCAGTCAGAGCGCATCCCTTGACATGTCTGTGACATGAGGAGTTGGAGCAGGAGCGGGAGGAGAAGCAGGGAGGAAGGCGAGAGGGGAAGGTGGAGGAGTACGGTTGAGGAGGGAAGGACCAGAGTAGGCCCAGCACACGTGAACCATTTTGCAATGCACGCTCCCGTGCCAAGCCCCCCCATGGTTCGGGTTGTCCAAGAGAGGGGTAAGGACTAGTGGGGATGGCTATCATGGCCGGGGCCGTGCCTTCCTGCAGATCTCGCGGCCCCTTCTTCTGACTTCAATGCGTCCCCGGCCCCGACTCGGCCGCGCACATGCCATGGCACATGACTTCCCATCGCCCCCCTCTTCCACGCCCCCCTCTTAATGGACGCCCTGGGATGACGAGTCAACGTGAGCGTTCTCTTTCAGTGCGGCTTCTGCCGGGTGGAAGAGGCGGTAAGGGGCTTGCCGCGGGTTCAGGAGCTGGGAGGACCACAGCTGTGATATTCCATCCTCCTCTCCCCCTCCTCGTCTTCCTCCTCCTCCTCTTATTACTGCTACTGCTCTCACCACTACTACTACTACTACTACTACTACTGCTACTACTACTACTACTACTACTACTACTACTACTACTACTACTACTACTACTACTACTACTACTACTACTACTACTACTACTACTACTACTACTACTACTACTACTACTACTACTACTACTACTACTACTACTACTACTAAGACGACTGCTACCACTATTACTGCGACTACTACTACTACTACTGCTACTACTACTGCTACCATTACTACCATTACTACTACTACTTCTTCTTCTACTATTACAAGAACAACAACAACAACTACTACTACTACTACTACGCCTACTACTACTACTACTACTACTACTACTACTACTACTACTACTACTACATACTAGTACGACTGCGACTGCTACGACTATTACTGCGGCTACGGCTACGGCTACGACTACTACAACCGTTCTTCTTATTTACCACAACAACTACTACTACTACTACTACTACTACTACTACTGCCACTACTACTACTACAACAACAACTACTACTACTACTACTATCTTCGCTCTTTCTACTTCCACCACGGCGACGACTATCACTACTACTACTACGACTTCTACTACTACTACTACTACTACTACTACTACTACTACTACTACTTCTGCTCTACTACGACTACTACTACGACTATATTACTACTACTTCTGCTACTAGTACTTCTTCTACTACTACTACTATCACTCTACTACTACTTCTCCTACTTGTACTGCTACTACTGCTACTACCACTACTACCGCTGCTCGTGCTACTACCACTACTGATGCGACAACTAGTACTTTTACTACGGCGGCTACTATTACTATTACTACTACTAGTGGTAATACCTTTACTACTACTGCTACTACTACTACTACTACTACTACTACTACTACTACTAATACTACTACTATCACTACTACTACTACTGCTACTACTACTACTACTACTACTACTACTTCTGCTGCTACTACTACTGCTCCTACTGCTACCACTACCACTACTGCTACTGCTCCTACTGCTACTCAGCACCACGACTACTGCTACTGCTACTGCTATTGCTACTACTTCTACTTCTTCTACTACTACTACTACTACTACTACTACTACTACTACTACTACTACTACTACTCCTGCTACTACTACTACTACTACTACTACTACTACCACTACTACTACTACTACTACTACTACTGCTACTACTACTACTACTACTACTACCACTACTGCTACCCCTTCCCATGCTACTACTACTGCTACTGCTGCTGCTGCTGCTCAGGGCTTTCAGGATGAGTCTGCTGGGCGCTGAGTCGAGAGACCCGTTTCGAAAACGTACCGCCCTTCAGCCTTTAGTTGTGAGGCATGCCAAGCTTCAGGATTATGATTAGTGTGGGCATCTCCGGCGAAACGCCCAGCCCGCCCTACGGACAACGGGTACTCCTGGAAGTGCGACAAGCAAGAGCGATAGATTATGACGATGGTGATGCTGATGCTGATGTTGATGCTGCTGATGATGGTGGTGGTGGTGATGATGAGGAGGATGATGATGATGATGAAGACGATGTTGAGGGCGAGGATTCTGATTCTGATGCGGATGGGATTTCGGATGCTGACGAAGATGCTGATGCTGATGATGCTGACGATGACGACGATGATGATTAAGGTGACCACTACCATGACGACCATGATGATGACGCTGCTGCTGCTGCGGTTGCTGCTGTTTTCCATGATGATGTTGGTGATGATGATGGTGATGATGATGATGAGCATGAACAGGATGCTGATGCTGATGGTGATGATTATGCTGCTGATGCGGATGCTGCTGCTGCTGCAAATGCTGATTTTCGATACTGATGCTGCTGCTGCTGACGCTGATGAGGCGGATGCTGCTGATGATGATGTTGATGATGCTGATGCTGATGCTGATGGTTCTGCTGCTTCTGATGATGCTGATGGTGATGCTGCTGTTGCTGATGATGATGACGACGATGACGATGACGATGACGATTACGATTCTGGTGATGATGATACTGATGATGCTGATGATGGTGATGACGATGCTGATGACGGTACTGATGATGGTGATGATGAGAGTGGTGGTGTTCATGATGATGCGGATGCTAAGGACGATGACGATGAGGATGGCAATGATGATACTGCTCATGATGATGACGATGATGATAATGATGATGAGGCTGATGATGGCGCTGATGTTGATGCTGCTGCTGATGATGATGCTGATGATGCTGATGATGCTGATGCTGCTGATGATGCTGCTGCTGATGATAATGATGGTGATGCTTCTGCTGCTGCTGATGATGATGCTGATGCCCATGCTGCTGCTGCTGCTGCTGATGACAACGATGATGATGACGATGATGATGATGCTGATAAGGATGATGCTGCTGATGATGATGATGATCATGATGATGCTGATGCTCAGGATCATGCGGAGAAGGATTAGGGTGACGACGACCATGACGTTCATGAGGAGGAGCATGCTGCTGCTGCTGATGATGATAATGATTATGCTTGTGGCTGTTGCGACGGTGGCGATGACGCTGATAATGCTGATGAAGATGATCTTGATGATGATGATGACGATGATCTTGATGCTGATGCTGCTGCTGATGATGCTGATTATGCTGAGGATGATGATTAAGATGACCATTACCATGCCGACCATGAAGATGACGCTGTTGCTTCTGTTTTTGCTGCTGATGATGCTGATAAGGATGGTGCTGATGGTGCTGATGATGGTGGTTGTGATGATGCTGCTGCTGATGATGATGATGATGAAAGGAATTGATGCTGATGTTGATGACGATGACGACGACGATGATGAGATGAATGATGCAGATGATGATGAGGATGCTGATGGTGATGATGATGATGATTATTACGATGATGATGATGATGATGATGATGATGATGATGAGGATGCGGATTAGGTTGACGATGGCCATGACGGTCATGATGATGAGGATGCTGCTGCTGCTGAAGCTGATGTTGCTGCTGATGCTGATGCCGCTGCTGCTGCTGATGATGATGATGATGATGGTGGTGGTGGTGGTGGTTGTGTTGGTTATGATGATGATGCTGATGCTGATGCTGCTGATGATGATGATGAGCATGCTGCTGCTGATGATGATGCGACTGATGATGATGAGCATGCTGCTGATGATGATGATTAGGATGATCGTGGTGGTGATACTGATGATGATGCAAATTCTGAGTATGATGATGATGCTGATGGTGATGGTGATGGTGCTGATGGTGCTGATGAGGAATATGGTGCTGATGGTGCTGATGATGATGGTGCAGATGATGATGCTGCTGATGATGATGATGCTGATGATGATGCTGATGATAATGATGAGGATGAGGATGAAGACGAGGACGAGGATGATGATGATGATGATGATGATGATGATGATGATGACGATGACGATGATGATGATGATGATGCTGATGCTGCTGCTGCTGCTGCTGCTGATGATGATGATGATGATGATCGATGATGATGATGATGATGATGATGATGATGATGATGATGATGATGATGATGATGATGATGATGATGATGATGATGATGATGATGATGATGATGATGATGCTGATGATGATGGATGATGATGATGATGATGATGAATGATGATGATGATGATGTTGATGATGATGAATGATGATGATGATGATGATGATGATGATGATGATATGATGATGATGATGATGATGTGGATGATTAGGAGGAGGAGGAGGAGGAGGGGAGGAGGAGGAGGAGGAGGAGGAGGGGAGGAGGAGGCGCGAAGAGGAGGAAGGCGGGGGCGGGCCCTGCTTCCCTCCTGCCGCCCGCCGGCCTCCTCCGCCCGCTCGCCGCCCGCCCGCTCCCCTTCTGGGCAGGACGACGCGCCGGTCGACTGGGAGCGCTGGCGGGGCACCGTGCCTCGCACGTGTGCCCCCGCCTTCACCTACACGGTGCCCCTCGCCGCCCGCCCGCCGCGGCGCCCACGAGGGGAGGAGGGCGCAGGGAGGAGGGTGCAGGGAGGAGGAGGAGGAGGAGGAGGAGGAGGAGGAGGAGGAGGAGGAGGAGGAGGAGGAGGAGGAGGAGGAGGAGGAGGAGGAGGAGGAGGGAGGAGGAGGAGGAGGGAGGAGGAGGGGAGGGAAGGAGGAGGAGGAGGGCGGAGGAGGAGGAGGAGGAGAAGGAGGATGAGGGGGGGATTGTGGAGTCGCTGTGGGTTTTAGACGAAAATTTACGATATTTCACGTTGTTCCTCATCATTATGTGATGTTTCCCTTCTCGTTTTCTCTCTCTCTTTCTCTCTCTCTCTCTCAATCTCTCCCACTCCCATTCCCATTCCATTCCCATTCCCAATACCATTACCATTACCATTCCCATCCCCATTCCTATTCCCATTCACATTACCGTTACCATTACCATTACCTTGACCTTTATCTTTACCTTTCCCTTTACCATTACCATTACCATTGCCATTACAATTGCCAGTGCCATTACCACTGCCATTACAATTGCCATTATCATTGCCATTGCCATTACCAATGCCGTTGCCATTGCCATGGTTTTGCCATTGCCAGTCGCCACCCCGTTACCATTACCGTTACCATTACCATTCCCATTCCCATTACCATTCGCCACTACCATTACCATTGCCATTATCATTAACATTACCAACACAATTGCCATTACCATTACCATTACCGCTGCCATCACCATTACAATTCCCATTCCCATCACCATTGCCATTACCATTACCCTTACCAGTACCATTTCCATTACCATTGCCATTATCTTTACCACTACCACTACCATTTCCATTCCCGTTCTCGGTCCAATTACCACTACGATTCCCATTCCCATTCCCATTACCATTACCATTACCATTACCATTACCATTACCATGACCATGGCCATTACTATTGCCATGGCCATTGCTATTGCCATTGCCATTGCCGTTGCCATTCCCATTGCCATTGCCATTGCCAGTCC